CTTCAAAATACCTTTTTGTTCAAAGGGAAAAGCTAGTTAAGCCAGGCCTTAGCTCTCAGCAGGTTTTGCATTTGAATGCCAAATTTAAAAATGTGATCATCCCTATTCAACAGAAAACTTATTGTGTGTGTGTGTGCATGTGTGTGTGTGTGTGTGTGTGTGTCTTTAAGGAGTTTTCAAACTAATGGAAGGACAGGTTTGCAGAGATTAAAGAAAATGGTGGCTCAAGTGGTCAAATAAAAAAAAATGGCATGATACCAGAAAGAAAAAGGAGTTACTTTAGCCTGAAATGCTTACTTACTCTTTAAAGTGTTGGGCTGTGTCTGAAAAGTAGGTAGGTTTTTGGTATGTAAACATATACTGGGTTAATGTGGGGGTGAATAATGAGAATTCCAATTAAAGAAAATAGAGCAACAGCATGAATTTTTGGTGAAATTTTTAATACAAAAGTAATAGGATAAATGGCTTTTTGACATCATATCATTGAAGACCCTGTAAATCAGGCTAAGAACATTGTCCTTTGTTAAGGAACAAAAATAGAAAATTGTCTATGGTTTGTGGTCAAAGAATTATGTTCATATGATTTGATGCATGTTGTAGAAAGTTGCACTATGGAAGAGATATTATTAGCAATATGAGCACAAGTTCAGAGGCTTTACAGTCTAAGAAGACAGTGATGAAAGTTTAAGCATGGGGCACGGCAGAGAAGTAATTTAATCCCTTTACTTTTTTTTTTCTGTTTTCTAGGACCAATTATAATCTGTAAATTGGATAATTTTAGAAACTTTGTTGAGAAGCAACTCATTGATTTTATAAATTAAATGGATTCTAGAAGCTTGAAAACATTAAGGAACAAGGTAGAAGATTAGCCAGGTGCTATCTATACACGGTTGCATTTCACATGCCTACAACAATTGCAAAGTCATCTGAAGAAACCTAGCACTAAATCCCAACACGATTCCTGCTGAAGAAACCACCATTAAGTCTAATACCAAGGAGAAGTACAAAATTTAGATTTTTTTCCTATCAAGATTTCAGAAAAGTACTGAGTCATTAGATTGATCTCAATAACTTCCTGAAAAAAAGCATCTGTATTAAACCCTTATGAATTTAAATTTTTTGAGAATTTATATATATATATGATCTCCTCTCACTTGATAAATAAATGAGCTGCAGTAGCAGTCTCCTTAAAAGAAAAAATATTGCAATGTCATTCCTCCAGCCTTTTCAGCAAGAGTCAATATTGAAACCTGAGGTAAAACAGCCAAACAATGTCAAAAGTAATGTGGGTATTTCTGTTATTTCTCAGTTCCTCTCCAAAGGGACTGTGCTGTCTCAGGGTGCATGGGCGATTTTGTGGCAAAATTAGCCAACCCAGGATCCACTTAAAGGCACTTGTAAAGGTAAGAGCATGGCTACTCTGCAAGCTTTCTAAAAGACAGGTTCTAAGAAGTGCAGGTTTACATGTACAAGCTACCCAAAGTGAGGGGTTTTCTGAGATAAACTGAAGAAGAAAAGTCTAAATCAACCTTCTCTTCAAAATAAACAAGACACATCAATTCAAGAGAAATCACAGACACAGATACGTGGCATTTCTGCCAAATACATATTTACAAACTATAGGCCAGACGTTCTGAGATGCCACTGACACCCTGGCCATGTGTCAAGATTTCTACTTAGTGACATTTGCAGGAACCAGGTAGCAAATTGAACCTCACATGAAAGGAATGAAATATGGAAATGTAACCTGAACCACAAATCGCATTTTTCTTACAGGACAAAGTAAAATCCCCAGAGATCTGTGGATGGCTTTGTGTACTTATCTAAGCCATTTTTCTATAATAAAATATTCACATTTCAGAAAGGCAAAGGTGAAGCAAAGTAGTAGCAAAATGGCAAACATGTTTAAACATTCACAGTACTCTGGTGTCTATTCATAACAGCTCAGGAGCCAAAATCGAAAAACAGAATTAGATCTGGCTTCTCTCTCAGACGGTTCGATGATGATTCCGCTGATGCTACAGAATTCAGGGAAAACTTCTCCAGCCAGTCAAGAGGACCAGGCAATTTGTAAAGACTTAGGGCCGGGCGCGGTGGCTCTCGCCTGTAATCCCAGCACTTTGGGAAGCCAAGGCGGGTGGATCACGAGGTCAAGAGATTGAGACCATCCTGGTCAACATGGTGAAACCCCGCCTCTACTAAAAATACAAAAAATTAGCTGGGCATGGTGGCGCGTGCCTGTAATCCCAGCTACTCAGGAGGCTGAGGCAGGAGAATTGCTTGAACCCAGGAGGCGGAGGTTGTGGTGAGCCGAGATCACGCCATTGCACTCCAGCCTGGGTAACAAGAGCGAAACTCCGTCTCAAAAAAAAAAAAAAAAAAGACTTAGACTTCCCGTGAGCTCCTCCCTATGGCTGACGCGGTGACAAGAATTATCTCCCAGCTTTCATGATTTCTAATCCTGAACGAAACCATGCCCCTCCTGAGACGATGCGTTTGAGTCACCTTCCTCCTAACTCTTCAGTTCTCTACTAAGGGGACTAGCAACCAAGTAGCCAAACATTCAATCCTTCACACACTCATCTCCTCAGCTCCTCACTTGGGCAGAAGAGCCAGGACTTTGCCTCTCGTCAACCCTGTGAAATAAACCACTTCTTCCGACTCGGGGATACTTCTCAAAGAAAAGAAAAAATTCCTTCCTTCTTTATGCATGCATTCTTACACATGTGCACACACTCATTGGTCTCTACAAAGAAAAAAATGTCAAACTCGCTGTTCGACAGGATTTCATTCACAATCCTTTCACAAAGTGGTAGTCGTTAGCCAATTACTCTTCAAACAGAAAACACACACACACACACCCCACGCGCGCTCGTGCACACACCCAAACCTTGAGGAAAAAAATTTGTCAGGCGCTGAGAAAGTACAGGGTGGAGAGTACACGGGCCCCGGTCCCGGTCTCCGCTCCCGGGCTGAAGCTCCCTAAGGACGCGCTGGGAACCGCGCTCCACTAGGGACAGCCCGCAGCCCCCGCAAGTGTCGGCCCTCACCTCCTGACCCCGCCCCCTCCGGGGCTCGGGCCGCGGGGTCCGCAGAGGGTCTGGGGTGGGGCGCGCGGTCATCTGCTCTCTCGGAGCGTTCCGGAGCGCGCGGGCGCCACTTACGTGCCGGGACCGAGCTGCAGGGCGCTTCCTGGCGGCCCGCCGACAACCGCCCGAGCGCAGAAGCACTAGCGCCACAGCCGCGAGGACCCCTCGGCGAGGCTGATCCTCCAGGACCGCCGCCCTGGCTGTGCGCGGTGCGCAGTTCCGGCTCCGCAAGTGCGAACCCAGCGCAGAAGTTGGGCTCGCCAGGCAGAAGTTGGTGTGCGGGGCTTGCGGAGCTGGCGCGGTGCGTCTCTCCGCGGAGGGAACTGCAGCAGCTCGGCCCCACCAGGCGTCACAGGCGGCTGGGAGCGTGAGGGGAGCGGCCGGGCGAACCCCAGAGGCTGGGTGGCCACTGAGCTCTGCCTGCTCCTGCTCCACCGGGAGCGACTGAAACCGAGTGCCCAGCGGCCTGGCAGCCCCCGCAGCCCCGGTGCCATGGAAACGCGCTCGCCGCCTTCCCGCCCCAGCCCCACCGGGCGTCCTCCACGCCTGCGCCCTCCTCGTCATCCAGGCAGGGCAGGGGCTGGGCGCTGGGACCTGGAAGGGCAGCTGGGACGCAAAATAAGGGCTTCGTTCATTACTCAGCCTAACTCTGCTCCCACCTCTTCCTACCCGCCCCCTCCCGCACGCACTCTAATCCCGCCAAAGAGCCACAGCAGCCCAGGCTTTTTCCCTTAGTGCATCAGCCGGCTCAGAACCAAACCAGCTGTGCACAAGCAGAGACCACAAGAAGGCTGGCTGACTTTTGATTGTCTTGTTCTGCTTGCTTCCCACCCCGAGTCTGGGGAGTCAGTCAGAACACTAGGCTGAGGGAAGTGGGAACCAGTTGGCAGTTGATTGAACCAAATCTGCCAAATCGACAGTTGCAGGACACATTGCCGGCTCATCCAGAAATCCTCCTCACTCAACAGGGGGTCATCTCTCTTCGTTTTACTTGGCTATAAGCTCACCCCCTTTAGGCATCAGAGTTAAAAGGAGCAGCCAACGCTTTTACAAACTTAATCCCTCCTTTCCTTCAAACCAGCTCCTCTCTCCCCCAAATATAAGGAGGAGCAGCCAGCCGTGGCCCCTCCAGAGAACAGCTTCCGCTCCTGCTCGGAACAGGAAGCTCAGGGTGCGGGGCTGCCCCGCGCAGCCTGGGACCCACAGCCAAGCGCAAGGCAGTCGCCAGCAGCTCAGGCCGTAGGCCGTGCCTCTGCCCGGTGCCAGCTGCTGTCTGGAAGGCAGCAAACCTCTGGAATATGTTTCGTGGAAATAAAAATATATGGTGCATCGTGCCCTCCAACAAAGGACAGTCCAGGCTCCGAAGCCATATCTAATGTTTATCCGTGAAAAATATGGATCAATCCACAGTGGGAAGACTTTTTTCTTTGAACCCTAAACTTACCCCAAGTGGCTCTCCAGTAACTCATTCATAGTAAAATACTATACTTAAAGTGGCACCACCTGATTTCCTTAGTTCTGGGAGCCCTAAAAGGACTTTTCCCAAATGGTTATTTGGACTCCCTCTTGTCCTGCATATTTGAAATAACCATCTGGCTCTTAGTTTCCGTCTTTTGAGCCTTTGTTCCCTTTTCCTTTTTGTGTGTGTGTGTGTGTTTTCCTGTTTTTTTCTATAACTGAAGCAGCAATTGAGCTTTTTTTTTTGAGGCGGAGTCTGGCTCTGTCGCCCAGGCTGGAGTGCAATGGCACGATCCAGGCTCACTGCCACCCCCGCCTCCCGGGTTCAAGCGATTCTCAGCCTCCGGTATACCTGGGACTACAGGTGCGCGCCACCACACCCAGCTAACTTATTGTATTTTTAGTAGAGATGGCGCTTCACCATGTTGTCCAGCATAGTCTGGATCTCTTTACCTCGTGATCCGTCGAGGTAAAGCCGCGGACGCGCTTCGGCTCCCAAAGTGCTGGGATTACAGGCATGAGCCTCCGCGCCTGGCACAACTGGGCTTTTACAGAAGGGATTGGGAAGCAAACTCTCGTTGTTTCTCTGAAAAGATAAAAAAATACAGGTGAGCTAAGAACCAAACTACTCCTGAATTCTTCAGCATTCTGTGACTTTGCTCTCCTTGAGTCTCAGAGTTTGGAATTTATGCCACCCTACAGTATTTTTTATTTCTCTGAGACATATCTGTATTTTTTACTTGTTTTAAAATTGAACTTTAGTAAAGTGAAAACGCAGTAAGTACAAGTACATAACTAGACATCTTTATCTTTTGACAAATATCTTTAATGAACATAATTTTCGAGTTTTTTCCACAATAGAAATCATTACTTAACCCCCCTTATTTATTTTTAAAAAAGATTCATTCTGACTTCTCTTTCTAAATGCCAGATGTGTATCAACCAGGCCTTCTCTAACCCCAGAGACAGTGGACTTGGTGACAGTGCTTATATCTACTGTAGAGATGCATTGTAACGTGGCTAACTCTAGTTAGTACTGTTATTAACAGGCCCAGCATAGGCTGCTAAAACACATTGACAATTTAAAAATAGATTTTTAACTCTTACTTGTAACTGGTACTCAACCTCTTTGCCACCTTTTGTTAACAAGTAACAAAGTTGATTGCTTAATTTCACTTCTTTTTCTTCCCTCTTCTAGTGAGTTGCTAATGAATGGTGAAATAACCAAGGCAGACAAGGCTCTGTGGAAAAGAAAAGAAACTGGGTAAGACACAAAAATGGTGACTTCTGAACTGAGAGTACTAACTATATATGGTGGGTCTGTTTTTCTCCCCATCTGAGTATAACTATACGTAAAAAAAAATCCTCTCCATTGATTCGATTTTTCGTTTGTCTTTTGGATGGAATGTAAAGACTCCAGATTGTTTTAATACAGTTGCGTATTAATTATTTTAATAAAAATGTATAGGATACCTAGAGATGACAGTAAAGATTAATAGGACCCTGAAATTTCTTGTTACTTGCTAAGCTTTTATTTGCTTCTCAACTAGTTTTAACTCTGCTCAGATGTATCTTCAACCAATCTCATTCCCTCCTGAAATGTAAAAAGTTTCTAAACATTCTCTTTCATAATATCACTGAAACTCTTGCATAAATGATACATCACATTTATTACAAGGCTAAATTTTACGTAAACCACAGCTAATATTCAAAACTATTTTAAAAGCTAAAGAATAATGGAAATTCAGGAATGTATGTAAATCATCTGATTGCATAGTTGTTTAATAAAGGATCACTTAGGCACGTGAGAAGTAAGCACATTGAAAATCATAAATTAGAAAATTTTCATTGTGTGTACATTAGTTTCAAAACACATTTTTACTATAGATGAATATTTAAAGCACTTAGGATGCTATGGGATAAATATGATTAATGTATAGCTCAAAAAGTGAGATTTATTTCAAATTATTCTAGCATGGGTAATCATATGAACACAATGTCGTGTAAGCAACATCATTAAATGAATTATACTCTTCTAACATAAGTGTTTAACATTTTGCCATGAACTTGAAAACAGTGATATGAAATCAACTCCCCTTCTGTAGGATATTCATACAATTTTGAAATAACTGGTTATTTGGTTTGATTGCTTGGGTATGCTATTCTTTAACAACAATGTATTATGAAACCTGTTAGCTATAATCTTCCATATTAAAAGAACAATGCAATTTGGTGTTTGGTGGTTGTTATGAACACACAAAATGAAGGTAGACACAGACAAATAATTAATTCTGCCTTTATTGTCAAAGAAAAAGAAATTTTAAATTTAACCAAGAGCATGAGCCAGGTACACAAAGAACCAATTTTAAAAATTAAGAGAAGGAAAAAAAAGTTTTGTTGATGACATCCCTTACTTGGACATAAATATTACAGGGAAAATCCGGAAACATTATCAATTGAGTTTTATTTTTATGAATGATCTTTCACAATCGTAACCTAGACAGATTCTTAAAAAAGAGTTAGAAATTGCAGACTAAAAGGATCTAAACATTCTATCTAAAGATTTTATGGGGGTACTTCAGTGGGAATGCCATATGCCACTTCACTCTCCCTCCAGACCTGCATCAAAGAAGTAATAAATCGAACCAGCTTCTTTCTTGTTAGGAAGGGGTGGGGTAAGCCAATTTAATGCTTTATGTCTGCTGGTTGTAAAAGGGGATGCTTACCTAAAAAGAAATACATTCTGACCAGATGTTCTCAAAATCTTCCTGAGTTCCTGCTTAAAACTTCACAGTTACCAAATACTTTTTCTCATTTGTCTTCTTCTAATTCAGAAATTGTTGATCCATGGCCATTCAACAAGCAGGTGATACAAAAGCCTTCCAGCCAAAGCATTGCAGTCTTATTCTCCTGCACACAAAAACTTCCAGTGTCTATACGGGGACAGGAAAAAAGAACGGGCCACTTCATTCAGCAGGTATTGTAGGTTGAAAGAGAAGGAGGTCAGAAAGCAATTCTTTAAAGGACAGCTTCTGTCACTTGAAAGTGTAATAAATTGCCATTATAAAAATGCCCACAAACACTAATAAGCCATGCACATTGAAATCTTGATGTCAGGCAAAATAGAATGAAATTCATCCAGGAACCAACTGAGATTGTTGCACCAAGATATGAATAATCATTCTCTGTTTTTTTTTTTTTAATTTTTTATTGGATTATAGGTTTTGGGGTACATGAGCAGAGCATGCAAGACAGTTGTGTAGGTACACACATGGAAGTGTGCTTTGCTTTTCTTCTCCCCTTCACCCACATTTGGCATTTCTCCCCAGGCTATCCCTCCCTACCTCCCCCTCCCACTGGCCCTCCCCCTTTCCCCCCAATAGACCCCAGTGTTTAGTACTCCCCTTTCTGTGTCCATGTGTTCTCATTTTTCATCACCCACCTATGAGTGAGAATATGCGGTGTTTCATTTTCTGTTCTTGTGTCAGTTTGCTGAGGATGATGTTCTCCAGATTCATCCATGTCCCTACAAACGACACGAACTCATCATTTCTGATTGCTGCATAATATTCCATGGTGTATATGTGCCACATTTTTCCAATCCAGTCTATTATCAATGGGCATTTGGGTTGATTCCAGGTCTTTGCTATTGTAAACAGTGCTGCAATGAACATTCGTGTACATGTGTCCTTATAGTAGAACGATTTATAGTCTTTTGGATATATACCCAGTAATGGGATTGCTGGGTCAAATGGAATTTCTATTTCTAAGGCCTTGAGGAATCGCCACACTGTCTTCCACAATGGTTGAACTAATTTACACTCCCACCAACAGTGTAAAAGTGTTCCTTTTTCTCCACATCCTCTCCAGCATCTGTTGTCTCCAGATTTTTTAATGATCGCCATTCTAACTGGCGTGAGATGGTATCTCAGTGTGGTTTTGATTTGCATCTCTCTGATGACCAGTGACGATGAGCATTTTTTCATATGACTGTTGGCCTCATATATGTCTTCTTTCGTAAAGTATCTGTTCATATCCTTTGCCCACTTTTGAATGGGCTTGTTTGTTTTTTTCCTTCCTGTAAATCTGTTTGAGTTCTTTGTAAATTCTGGATATCAGCCCTTTGTCAGATGGGTAGACTGCGAAAATTTTTTCCCATTCTGTTGGTTGCCGATCCACTCTAGTGACTGTTTCTTTTGCCGTGCAGAAGCTGTGGAGTTTCATTAGGTCCCATTTGTCTATTTTGGCTTTTGTTGCCAATGCTTTTGGTGTTTTGTTCATGAAGTCCTTGCCTACTCCTATGTCCTGGATAGTTTTGCCTAGATTTCCTTCTAGGGTTTTTATCGTGCCAGGTCTTATGTTTAAGTCTTTAATCCATCTAGAGTTAATTTTAGTGTAAGGTGTCAGGAAGGGGTCCAGTTTCTGCTTTCTGCACATGGCTAGCCAGTTTTCCCAACACCATTTGTTAAACATGGAATCCTTGCCCCATTGCTTGTTTTTGTCAGGTTTATCAAAGATTGTATAGTTGTATGTATGTTGTGTTGCCTCCGGTGCCTCTGTTTTGTTCCATTGGTCTATATCTCTGTTTTGGTACCAGTACCATGCTGTTTTGATTACTGTAGCCTTGTAGTATAGTTTGAAATCCGGTAGTGTGATGCCCCACGCTGTGTTCTTTTTGCTTAGAATTGACTTGGCTATGCGGGCTCTCTTTTGGTTCCATATGAAGTTCATGGTGGTTTTTTCCAGCTCTGTGAAGAAAGTCAATGGTAGCTTGATAAGGATAGCGTTGATTCTGTAAATTACTTTGGGCAGTATAGCCATTTTCACGATATTAATTCTTCCTAACCATGAACATGGAATGTTTCTCCATCTGTTTGTGTCCTCTCTGATTTCGTTGAGCAGTGGTTTGTAGTTCTCCTTGAAGAGGTCCCTTACGTTCCTTGTGAGTTGTATTCCAAGGTATTTTATTCTTTTTGTAGCAATTGCGAATGTCAGTTCGCTCTTGATTTGGCTTTCTTTAAGTCTGTTATTGGTGTAGACGAATGCTTGTGATTTTTGCACATTGATTTTATATCCTGAGACTTTGCTGAAGTTGTTTATCAGTTTCAGGAGTTTTTGGGCTGAGGCAATGGGGTCTTCTAGGTATACTATCATGTCGTCTGCAAATAGAGACAATTTGGCTTCCACCTTTCCTATTTGAATACCCTTTATTTCTTTTTCTTGCCTGATTGCTCTGGCTAGAACTTCCAGTACTATATTGAATAGGAGTGGTGAGAGAGGGCATCCTTGTCTAGTGCCAGATTTCAAAGGGAATGCTTCCAGTTTTTGCCCATTCAGTATGATATTGGCTGTTGGTTTGTCATAAATAGCTTTTATTACTTTGAGATACGTTCCATCGATACCGAGTTTATTGAGGGTTTTTAGCATAAAGGGCTGTTGAATTTTGTCAAATGCCTTCTCTGCGTCAATTGAGATAATCATGTGGTTTTTGTTTTTGGTTCTGTTTATGTGGTGAATTACGTTGATAGACTTGCGTATGTTGAACCAGCCTTGCATCCCCGGGATGAATCCTACTTGATCATGATGAATAAGTTTTTTGATTTGCTGTCGCAATCGGCTTGCCAATATTTTATTGAAGATTTTTGCATCTATGTTCATCATGGATATTGGCCTGAAGTTTTCTTTTCTTGTTGGGTCTCTGCCGGGTTTTGGTATCAGGATGATGTTGGTCTCATAAAATGATTTGGGAAGGATTCCCTCTTTTTGGATTGTTTGAAATACTTTTAGAAGGAATGGTACCAGCTCCTCCTTGTGTGTCTGGTAGAATTCGGCTGTGAACCCGTCTGGACCTGGGCTTTTTTTGTGTGGTAGGCTCTTAATTGCTGCCTCAACTTCAGACCTTGTTATTGGTCTATTCATAGTTTCAGCTTCCTCCTGGTTTAGGCTTGGGAGGACACAGGAGTCCAGGAATTTATCCATTTCTTCCAGGTTTACTAGTTTATGCGCATATAGTTGTTTGTAATATTCTCTGATGATGGTTTGAATTTCTGTGGAATCTGTGGTGATTTCCCCTTTATCATTTTTTATTGCATCTATTTGGTTGTTCTCTCTTTTATTTTTAATCAATCTGGCTAGTGGTCTGTCTATTTTGTTGATCTCTTCAAAAAACCAGCTCTTGGATTTATTGATTTTTTGAAGGGTTTTTCGTGTCTCAATCTCCTTCAGCTCAGCTCTGATCTTAGTAATTTCTTGTCTTCTGCTGGGTTTTGAGTTTTTTTGATCTTGCTCCTCTAGCTCTTTCAATTTTGACGATAGGGTGTCAATTTTGGATCTCTCCATTCTCCTCATATGGGCACTTATTGCTATATACTTTCCTCTAGTGACTGCTTTAAATGTGTCCCAGAGGTTCTGGCATGTTGTGTCTTCGTTCTCATTGGTTTCGAAGAACTTCTTTATTTCTGCTTTCATTTCGTTGTTTACCCAGTCAACATTCAAGAGCCAGTTGTTCAGTTTCCATGAAGCTGTGTGTTTCTGGGTCGGTTTCTGAATTCTGAGTTCTAACTTGATTGCACTATGGTCTGAGAGGCTGTTTGTTATGATTTCTGTTGTTTTGCATTTGTTGAGCAGTGCTTTACTTCCAATTATGTGGTCAATTTTAGAGTAGGTGTGATGTGGTGCTGAGAAGAATGTGTACTCTGTGGATTTGGGGTGGAGAGTTCTGTAAATGTCCACCAGGTTTGCTTGCTCCAGGTCTGAGTTCAAGCCCTGGGTATCCTTGTTGATTTTCTGTCTGGTTGATCTGTCTAGTATTGACAGTGGAGTGTTAAAGTCTCCCACTATTATTGTGTGGGAGTCTAAGTCCTTTTGTAAGTCATTAAGAACTTGCCTTATGTATCTGGGTGCTCCTGTGTTGGGTCCATATATGTTTAGGATCGTTAGCTCCTCTTGTTGTATCGATCCTTTTACCATTATGTAATGGCTTCTTTGTCTCTTTTGATCTTTGTTACTTTAAAGTCTATTTTATCAGAGATGAGAATTGCAACTCCTGCTTTTTTTTGCTTTCCATTAGCTTGATAAATCTTCCTGCATCCCTTTATTTTGAGCCTTTGTGTATCCTTGCATGTGAGATGGGTTTCCTGTATACAGCACACTGATGGGTTTTGGATTTTTATCCAATTTGCCAGTCTGTGTCTTTTGATTGGTGCATTTAGTCCATTTACATTTAGGGTTAATATTGTTATGTGTGAATTTGATACTGCCATTTTGATGCTAAGTGGCTGTTTTGCCTGTTAGTTGTTGTAGTTTCTTCATTATGTTGAAGCTCTTTAGCATTCAGTGTGATTTTGGAATGGCTGGTACTGGTTGATCCTTTCTATGTGTAGTGCCTCTTTTAGGAGCTCTTGTAAAGCAGGCCTGGTGGTGACAAAATCTCTGAGTACTTGCTTGTTCGCAAAGGATTTTATTCTTCCTTCACTTCTGAAGCTCAGTTTGGCTGGATATGAAATTCTGGGTTGAAAGTTCTTTTCTTTAAGAATGTTGAATATTGGCCCCCACTCTCTTCTGGCTTGTAGTGTTTCTGCCGAGAGATCTGCTGTGAGTCTGATGGGCTTCCCTTTGTGGGTGACCTGACCTTTCTCTCTGGCTGCCCTTAGTATTCTCTCCTTTATTTCAATCCTGTTGAATCTGACGATTATGTGCCTTGGGGTTGCTCTTCTTGCGGAAAATCTTTGTGGTGTTCTCTGTATTTCCTGCAATTGAGTGTTGGCTTGTCTTGCTAGGTGGGGGAAATTTTCCTGGATGATGTCCTGAAGAGTATTTTCCAGCTTGGATTCATTCTCTTCGTCCCCTTCTGGTA